CCTGCTTCCTCATCTCAAGGGCAGTGGCTTCCTGACAGGCACAGCTGTGGGACACAAGTGGGGCGCATGGACCGGGCCATGTGGGCAGGAAGGCGGGCACAGAGCCAGCCCGGTCTCCACCTCCTCATCCAAGCAGAAGCCACCCTCCTGCTGTGTATACACATTTTTTTGTTATCGTTTTCCGTCTGATTTGGGGGCGTGTGTGTTCGCACGTGCACATGCTGATACTTGGGGCTTGAACTCAGGGCTTAGGTGCTGTCCCTTAGGTTTTTCACTGAAGGATGGCACTCTACTACTTGAGCCACAGCTCCATTTCCAGCGTTTTGGTGATTAATTGTAGGAGCTAAGTCTTACAGACTTTTTGCCTAAGTTGGCTTCAAACCACAATTCTCAGATCTAGCCTCCTGGGTAGATAGGATTTCAGGTGACAGCCACCAGTGCCTGGCCTTGTGTATACAACCTTTGTGGGGTAAAGTAAGGCAGAAAAGTTACAGCGTGGCTCACAGTCACACAGTGACCCTGTGGGAAGTGCACTGATCTTGCCAAGTATACTTCCTGTCACTGTCCGCAGGGAAGACCCTGCTCCCAGGACCAAGGGATTACACAGGTATCCACAACCTGGAGGCCAAGGGCAGCGGCCTGGCCGGCCCCAGCTGCCCTTTGAAATGCCCTTTATCAGTTACGGCAGCACTCAGGAATGAACAGGAATGCTGTCTCCACAGCCACCTTTCTCTGCTGACAAGGGAGAATGTTATCTTGAAGGCCACTCAGAAAAGTAGCACAACAGGCAAGAACAGGCTGGGCACCAGGGGCTTATGCCTGTAATTCTAGCTACTCAGGAGGCTGAATTTGGAGGATTGAAGATCAAAGGCCAACCTCAGCAGAAAAGTCTGTGAGACTCATCTCCAATAAACTACCAAGAAGCCTGAAGTGGAAGTCAAGTGACAGAGCACCAGCCTCGAACAAAAAAAAGCTTAGGGGCAGTGGCCAGGCCCGGAGTTCAAGCCCGGGGACCAGCACCAAAAACACCACCACCACCACCACCACAAACAGGCCAGACCAGGGAGAGATCCTGAAAGGGCCCCTTTTCTGCCCTGAAGCAATTCTCAGGGGTCCTGACAGCCTGGCCAGTCTCCTGATGACTCCATCCCCCAGGCCCACCTTAGCTTTATCTTTCCAAAAGGTATTTCCTATGCATAGGAGGGACGAGGGAAAGGGAAAGAAGTTGGGAGGGGCCGCAGACTCGGGATGGAAGCCAATGTACTCAGCAACATTAATGCTCCAGCCACCTTGGCCCTTTCCAGGGAGGGGGCACTGACAGTAGCAATGCGTGTAGCACACCAGACGCATGCTCCCTGGCCGGCGTATCTTTCTGAGAGGGAAACACCTGCTCGTCAAGCCGCCAGTGGTGGGAGCCCGGAACACACTGCCCTGTTCTGACTTCCTCTGCACACAGGGGCATGGAGGCTCCGGGTGACTGGCTGGTGGGTGGGGCCTGAGGAAAAGCCCACTCCTTCCACACCAGCACCTCCAAGAGGTGGGAAGCGACCAAAAAGCACCCGACACCAAATCCCAACTTGGTAACATCTAATAAGACATAAAGCAGGACCTCTGGGGCTATGGAAGGAAAGGGATGGACTAGGAAAACTGGGTTTGCTCACCATTTTCCAGCTAAAGTCTTCCGCCCACACAGGGGATGTGGCCAAGGTGCCTCTGTGGCTACAGGGACTCACAAGAGACCCCACTAGGCACAGCTGGGGGTCTCCTGTGGACTTGCAGCTCATGTGTATTTACATAGGCTCCCTGAGGGCTGGCTGACCTGGGACCCCAGAGGCTCTGCCAGCCCCGATGGAAGGCATGCATGGTTGGAGCAGGAAGTGCAGCTCAAGGGTAGAGGGCTTGTCTAATACTCACAGCCCCAGTGCCAAAACAAAAGCAAAGAAATAGAAGAAAAACCACACTGCCAAAGTTTCTTAAGCATCACTTAGATGCCTGTCCAAGACGAGTATGTACACTGCCATGGACTCTCCTATCAAGAAAAGAAGTAGAGCCGGGCACTGGTGGCTCATGCCTGTAATCCTAGCTACTCAAGAGGTTAGGTTCTAGGAACTGAGGTTCAATGCCATCCCAGAAGAAAAGTCAGACTCTTATCCCCAATTAACCTCCAGAAAATTGAAAGAGGGGGCTGGGAAGGTGGCTCAGTGATAGAGCGCTTGCCTTGCATGCACCTGGGTTCGATTCCTCAGCACCACATAAGCAGAAAAAGTCTGAAGTGGCGCTGTGGCTCAAGGGGTAGAGAGCTAGCCTTGAGCTGAAGAGCTGAGGGACAGCACCCAGGCCTAGAGTTCAAGACCCACGACTGACAAAAAACAACAACAACAAACAAACAAAGAAAATCTAAAGAGGAGCTATGGCTCAAAGTGGTAGAGTGCTAGCTTTGAGCAAGGAACAAGGCCCAGGCCCTGAGTTCAAGCCCCCTGACCAACAACTGGAGACTCCAATGCATGAAGACAAACAATCCAAGCTGCTTGGTCTGCTAAGCTCTGAGGACACAGGCTGAAGAGTCAAAGAGTGGAGCAAAGCATCAGCCACTAGAGCCAGTAAACTTCACCATATTGAGCTTCTTTTTAGTTTTTTGGCAGTATTGGGATTTGAACCCAGGGCCTTATACTTGATAGGCAGGTGCACTTCCACTTGAACCACACACCCCATTCCTTTTTGCTTTGGTTATTTTTCAGATAGGGTCTCTTTACTTTTTGCCTAAGCTGGCCTCAAACCTTTTACCTATGTTTCCCACACAGATGGGATTACAGATGTACCCTACCACAGCCAGGTTATTTATTGAGATGGGGGTGGGGTGTCTAACTTTTGGCCAAGATGGCTTCAAACTGTAATCTCAATCTCTGTCTCCTGAGTAGCTGGGATTGCAGGTATGTCCCACCATGCCTAGCCAGGGCCCTTTTCATGAGACCTGAGTCAGAACGCCAAACCCTTTACCTCAGTATCTTCACTCAAGCTGGGCAGGCCCCACCAGCAGAGGCATTTTGGCAAGATAAGCCTCCACCAGTGAGCTAGGGTCCCTTATCAGAGGCTGCTAGAGCCTCTGGTCAGCCAACAAAGGTCCAGATACCTCAGGCCTGAGGCAGGTATGAACTCCCTTAGTGGATCTTCACAGTGACTTATCCTTTTCTGGCCTTTGCTCTGGCAAGTGAGGCAGCTTTGGCTTATCAGGTATTTTCTTAAAACCAGGGTGGAATAATAGTAACAGTAAAAAGAAAGAAAGAAAGAAAGAAAGAAAGAAAGAAAGAAAGAAAGAAAGGTGGCCCAGACTCTGGAAAGAATCCCCCAGCCTGCTCCCTTGGCTCCCATGAATACCACTGAGAGCTCTCCACCCTGCTCACAGGCAGCCTACTTCAGCCCCCAGGCTGCTGGCCCCAACAAGAAGATCCCACCCCCAACCCCACCCCCATAGCGGACAGGCCATAGGGCAAGGGCCAGGAGACACCCAAGCTAATGATCAACAAACTGGTCTTTAGGCCCTCCTTAAATATGCTCCAGCTCCTTCCAAAGTCACTAGCAGGGATTGAGGCAGAAACTGACTCAGGCCAGGCTCATCCTGAACTGCTTCAGGCCAGGCTCATCCTGAACTACATCTTAAGGCAGCTCAGTGTGACAAGCAGGTCCGGACCTCTCCTAGCCTCTGAGATTGGCGTGGGGACTTAACTGCTCGAGAATGTGGGGTTGGAGGCGTGGCTCAGTTGGTAGAATGCTAGTCAATGAGCAAAAGCATCAAGTACCAAATTTAAATGCCATCTCTGACCAAAAAAGAAAAAAGAATGTGTTGCCTCGGTATTGATGGAAATAAAGGTCCAGTTTGTGAAAACAAAAACAAAAATACGGCAAAACCTGGATGGGAGTCATCACAACTGGACTGGACTCAGGCACTAATGCTCAGCAGGAAACTTCCTATCCCAGCTCAGCCCCCAGGGCCTCCAGCAAGGCCGCTGACCAGAAGGAGCTAAGCAAATGTAAGCAAATTTCCAAGCCCTAGCGGCTTGCACAGCTCTGCCAGTTTCTCCTTTTGCTAGGCTGCTCGCACTATCTCTGTGCTTATTAGGAACTTACGTGGCTCTGGGAGGCAAAGATTTTAGGTGCAAAGAGCCACAGGAGGCCAAAGGCGCGTTCAAGTCAGTGATGGCAGGGGCACCTAGGCACAAGTACTGGACAATACCCTGCCATCTCACTGCATGGCCCAGGGGTCCATGGGGCCCTGTTCCAAGCATGCCCACCCCCCCCAAAAAAAAAAGCAGCAACCACACAGAAGGGACTGTGATCTTGCCTTCCTTGGTCATCAGAGAACAAGGAGAAAAAAATAGCTTAGGCCAGCACCCATAACGGAAGTGACAGAAGCACTGGGACTTGAACTCAGGACCTTCCACTTGCTAAGTAGGTGCTCTACTGCTTGAATCATTCTGCCAGTCTCTTTTGGCACTGTTATTTCAGATAGGGTCTAGCATTATGGCCAGACCAGCCTGGACTTCAATCCTCCTGTTTGTGCTTCTCTTTGTCAATGGAATGACAAGTGTACACCACTGCACCCAGCCATTGTGCTTGTGTGCCCGTAGCTTGGGATAACAGGGGTGCATTACCACACCCAACTTTGGGTTGAGTTGAAGTCTTTCCAACTGGCTTTGAACTATGATTCCCTTGATCTCCATCTCCCTAGAAGCTAGGATTGGGCTTGAGCCACTGTGCTGTGTTGGATAACCGTGTGTGTGTGTGTGTGTGTGTGTGTGTGTTTAAAGCCCATTGGGTGTGTGTGTGTGTGTGTGTGTGTGTGTGTGTGTGTGTGTGTGTGTGTGTGTGTGTGTGTTTAAAGCCCAGGGCTGGAAGAAACCTCCAAGGCAGCTTCCAGTCTAATCATGGACAGCACATGCAGTGGTCTGACAAACGCTAGACACCTAGGCTGACCTGAGGTCAGAGCTTGTTTACTTGTTTACCTCTGCTGATGCGCTGCTTCTCTCCCGACAGGATGCCGGGGGTGTCGATGATGCTGATGCTGTCCAGGACTGGGTTGGGCAGCTGGGCACACATGAACCTGCAGGACAGCAAAGGCAGAGGAGAGCCGTCAGGAGGGTTGACTCAACTTCCAGATGCCACAAGGAGAGCTTCTGGGCCTCCTGTTTCTACCCAGGCTTCCTTCCCAGAAGCAAGGGACTAAGGTCTCTCAGCATCTTACTTTCTAGGGGTAGCTCTCTCTTTTCTCTCTCTCTCGCTCTCTTTTGCTGGAACCCAGGGCCTCACACATGCTTGGCAAGCATCTGACACTGAGCTGCCGCCCATCTGCTCTGGGAATGCAGCCCGCAGGCCCTGACCGCCCCCCACTTCCCTCACATGCACTGTCCCCCTAGAGTTCGAGAGGTCAGCTTCCAAGTTGCTGACTTGTTGGTGAAAGCAGAGCGAGCCTGGGTGACCATTCAGTTCCGAAGGGAAGCAGAAGTGGGACACGGGGGCCTGGCAATTTCACATTAAAATTTCCAACCACTTGGCTGGCTTCCCACACCCCGCGAGGCAGCCACTTCCCGGCTGCCTGGGGAAAGTGAAAACCAGGGGGACTGCGCTGTCTCACTAGAGGTGGGGAAGGAAATATGGACACACCATTCGCCAAGTGGTAAAGCCAATCCAGGAAAAGCCAGGCCACAGGAGAGAGAGGCAACCCCTGGAGAAAGGATCAGCCATGTGCCTGCCCTCATGCAGAGCTCAGAGCAGCCCAGGGGGCTGGCTCTTTACTGAAGGGCAGAAAAGCCTCCTTGAACACCCTCTCTGAGAAAGGTATTGTGAGCAAAGGAAAAGAGAACCCCATTGTCTGTAGGACATGGTGTCAAACTGCCCTTTCAGCTGGGGGGGTGGGGTAGGGGAACTAGGGTTCCTCAGTGTCTCCTAGGGCCCCATCCTCCAAGTGACTGGAGGCCCACAGGCTGTAAGGATGGCGGGCCAGGGCCAGAGGCCCTGACTCCAAGTGTAACAGAGCAAAACAGCTGAGCCATGGGTGAAAAACCTGGGACTTCATCATCATTAGGCCAACACAGAGAGAGCGTGGAGTGTTCTAAGTCACTTCATGCCACGTAGGGCTTCCTCACTGAAGAGAGGATGACAAGACAGAAGTAAAAGAGGAAGCCGGGTGCCCATGGCTCCTAGCTACCAAGGAGGCTGAGATCTGAGGATCACAGTTCAAAGCCAACCATGGCAGAAAAGTCCCCGTGAGACTCATCTCCAATTAACCATTCAAAAAAAATCAAAAGTGGCAGGGCTGGGAAGGTGGCTCAGTGGTAGAGTGCTTGCCCCTCCTGCATGAAGCCCTGGGTTCGATTTCTCAGCACCACATAAACAGAAAAAGCCAGAAGTGGCTTTGTGGCTCAAGTGGTAGAGTGCTGCTAGCCTTGAACTGAAGAACAGCACCCAGGCCCAGAGTTCAAGCCCTACAACTGACACAACACAAAAAAGAAATGAGAAGTGGCACAGTGACTCTAGTGGTAAAGCCTTAGCCTTGAGCACAACAAGTATCAGGGACAACACCCAGGCCCTGAGTTCAAACCTCACAACTGACACACACACACAAAAGTTAAGTAAAAGAGAGGACACAGAATGGACTCTGGAAAGTAACATGCAGAAATATGTCCAGCAAAGAATCCTACCCAGTGTGTGAGCATCTGCCCAGCACAGCACAGGGAGTGGACAGAAAAGCCAGAAGGGCAGGTGGCAAAGAAGCCGCCCACCCCAACAAAGATGCAGATTCTATCTCACTACAGGCGGGCCGTCGAGTCCAGGTTATGTAATGAGTGTTGATCCAGCACTTGCAGGACTTTGATTGTACCCTGTCTCCATCTGCTCCATCTGATCCTATCTCAGAGCAAGCCACTCAGGAAAAGGAGGCTGGAGCGTCAAGTTCATGACTCAATGGGTCACTGAAGAAAACCAGGAGAGTCTGTTTCAGCCAGAGAAAAGCCCCCTTTGTTATGCCCTCCCTGGTGGGCAGCACCCCTGGTCCATGCATCCTGTCACAACTCAGGCCCCCAGCTGACAGGAGGATGGCCTTCAGTGCTCAGGGACCCTGTGGAGAGGGGGCAGAGGTGAGGAGGGAATGTAAGCGATGTCAGCAAAGCATTTGTGCCTGACCCACCACTCCCCAGATGTTCTTTTTAAGGCAGCAGCAGCTGTGGGTGCACAAAGACCAGGGAGGCTCACTGCCTTTAATGTAATGGGTAATCCTGACAAATCAGCCAGGCCCTCTGCCCCTCTGCCTCCTGAACTGATAAGAGCTCTTGAGATGGTGTCTAAAATCCAGTTCTGAAGCTCTAGGTGTCCAAAGACAGGAAACGGAGTCATGTGCCCATTTTCTCTTCCAAAAAAGGCCTGTCCTCACAATCCAGTGAACACGCAAGGATAGAGGAGGTGAGTACAACGCCCCTTCTGTCAACCCCCAAGTTCTGGATGGAACAGAGCCCTAATGAGGACACTTCCAGTTACAGGCACCCAACTTCCTCCAAGACCCATGGCTGTTGGAGGCAATGGACTAGCCACAGGTGCGCTGAAACTAAGGGCCAGCCCTTCAGGAGCCTTAGTCCAAAGGGCTTTAGTCAATCCCTGGCCTGGCATGCAACTAACATCAGCATAAAAACATAAAACAGAAGGCCAGGCTGAGATGCCTGGAAGGGACAAAGAGACACATTAAAGGTCAGCTCTGTGCGGGGAGGCAGCCTGGCCACGGCTGGGATGTGGGACAAGCTGGCCCGCCCCGTGTGCTGGACAGTGTCTGGGAAGGAATGTGATGTAGAGGGTGGAGACCTGGAAAGCAGGATTCAGATTCTTTCTTAGGCTCTTCCCTGACTCAGGCTGCACACTTTGAAAGGCACGCAGAGTTACTCCTTGAAAGAGGGAGAGAGAGGGCAGGGTCTGAGAAGTCCAGAGTGGGCCTCCGTGGGCCTCCTGGGGTGGAGGCAGGATGCCTGGAGTTCCTTTGGAGAATAGTGAGCCTGGGCGGTACAAGTCCCTAGAGAGGCCACTGCGTTTCATTCATAGTTTCATGAGACTCTGATCCATCATTACTCACACTTTACAGAGGCAGGCCTCACCCTGTAACTGGGGAAACTGAGAGCCAAATGAGGTAAGAAATCTTCTCTCACTCTTCCAAGAAAGGAGGACCTATATCTCAAATTTCCTATCAGGGTTCTGGGTAATACCACCTCCTGAAGGCCTTGGAGGTGGCCCTGACCCATTAGTAGTTGTCTTTGAGAATAGTGTTCAGACCCCATCTGCCTCCTAGGAGCTGTCCCAAAAGCGAGCAAGCCACAGCAGATCCTAACTGTTCCTCCTACACATAACCACGGCTCCCCGGGAGAGTGTAAAGCAGACACACACATACACACACCAGCAAAGCCAACACACACACACACACACACACCAGCAAAGCCAACACACACACACACACACACACACACACACACACACACACACACACACACACACACACACACACACACACACCAGCAAAGCCAACAGCCAAAAGTCTCGTGGGTTTCGCGGGACACTTAAGAAACAGATCCGGCGGGAGAGGGAAGAGGTTAGAGGGTGACTTCAATGAAATCTGTGAGTCCGGTCTGGGGAAGGAGATGGACACCAAGAAAGGGAGACACAGCACGGCTCATCTTCCCAAGGACAGTGCGGGAAGTGGGGCCGGGGTCTGCGGAGGGCTTTGGGAGTTAAACTGAAGATTCTGGTGGTGACAGAAGCCAGAGGAGAAGGCGATGCGGCCCCCCCGAGCCCCCGGGGGGGGGTGGACGGGTTTTCCGCGGGGCGCGGCGGAGCTGATCGCGGTCCCTGGGAGTGGTCGCTCAGGGTCTGGCCGGGGCCCCGAGACAAAGGACGGAGGGGGCGACGATGGCGGCGGGAGGTCCCGGCCCGGGCCCGCCGCACGCCCCCGCCCCGCGCCCCGGGGTGAGCAGTGGGTACCTGTTGAGGAAGGCGTTGCCGAAGGCGTTGAGCTTACGGAAGGGGCGCCGCGGGTCCACGACGAGCGCGTTGCCCGGCACCACGCCCTCGGTGGGGCCGTGCATGACCGCGATGAAGGAGTCCGTGGTGGGCTCGGGCCCGATGCGCATCCCCGGGAAGTCCTGCTCGATCAGGTGCCGGATGAAGGTGGTCTTGCCCGTGCTGTACTGGCCCACGAGCAGCACCATGGGCTTGTTGTCGAAGTCGGCGTCCTCCAGCGCGGGCGAGTGGAACTCGTGGAAGCGGTAGTGCTCCTCCAGGGGCAGCAGCTTCTGCGCGTACAGCTGCCGCAGCCCCTCGGCCACCGTCTGGAAGAGCTCCGGCTCCTTCTTGCGGCGGGCATCCTTGCTGACCCAGCTGAACATGCTGCCGGAGACGGGGCGGGCGGCTGCGGGACACGACCGGCGGCTGAGGGGAGGCTGAGGGCGCTCGGCCGAGGAGGGGCCGGCCGGCCGGCG